TGATAGCCATTTATATGTGGAGTTTTTCATAACTGGTTTTACATAAAAGTAGTGATGCAGCACAAATAAAGCTCAAATTTAAGTTTTTTTATTTAGCCGAAAACCAAAATTGAATATAAAAAATTATTACTTAAATTTGGTTAATTAAAATCTTTATGATGGTCATGTTTGTAGGTGATAAATTACACCAGTCATAGTTAAGTTCTTTGGCAACAAGCCGCCTTCTAGCCGCCAAAACTACTCAAGCCGAATTTTTGGTCTTGGTGAAGTCAGTGTGTCCATCACACTGCTAACACGTATTTCTATTTTGCCATGAAATAGGCAGTCAAAACGAGTTACAGAAAAAAACAAGTGTTTTGGATAATGATTTTACATCCTCCAAATTTCAAGCCAAAACTTTTTTTTTTTTTTGGCCAAATATTTCCAGTTGGCGAAATCACGAACCTAAAAGAAATCAACAGGACTTTTTGACAAATGTCTAAAATTAGGTAACTTTACAACTAGACTCCATATCATGGTGGCCTCCATGTTGAGGTCATGTTTCTTTAGATTTAAAGGAATACTCCACTTTTTTTGGAAATAGGCTCATTTTACCACAGTTGGGTTTTACCGTTTTCGAATGTATTCAGCCAATTTTTTAATATTTAGAAGAATATGACCGTTTCTGGTCTCATTGACTTCAATAGTATATTTTTTTTCCTACTATGGAAGTCAATGAGACCAGAAACTGTCTGGTTGCTGATATTCTTCTAAATATCAAAAAGAAATTCGCCTGAATGGATTAGAAAACGGTAAAACCCAACTGTTTAACTCTGAGGGAGTTGTAAAATGAGCCTATTTCCAAAAAAAAGTGGAGTATCCCTTTAACATCTGAGGTAATTTACAGTACCATCATTGACTTCATTATGGCCATTAGTGTCTAGTGGTGGGAATCACAGGGTACCTCAAGATACGATACACGGCTCACGATACCGATAATATTACGATATAGCAATTCTGCGATAATCAATATTGTACTGTCTAATTATGAAAACAAAATACCCACAAAAAGGTTAAGTGCAGGTTTTCTCTCTTTATTCAAGTCCAAACTGTCAGAAAACAGCACAAAAAGGTTTTTCAGTAAATTGAACATTTTAAGTAAATTAAAAACAATTCAATGAGATCAGGGTGATGGCATTGCAAGTGACTATGCATTTTCATGGTGTTGCCCATGCACTTTCCTTTTACCAGGCAGTTCCTGTACAGTATATCGAGCCCGTTCTCATCCTTTGGCGTCAATAGGTGACACCATATGATATTTCGTCGAAATACTATGCACATGGCACCCTTTAGCGTCAACATAACACGCAGAACCCACAGGTGACTGGCATCCTTTAGCGTCAATATAACAAGCAGAACCCAAGGCGTCATACAGGTGACTGGCATCCTTTAGCGTCAATATGAGAGGTAGACCCTAACCCAGACAGACCTAAACCTACCCATAAGAGTGTGTGTTATATTGACGCTAAAGGGCGCCATGTGCGTATTCCGACAAAATGTCATATGGCGTCACCTATATGACGCCAAAGAATGAGAATGTGTTGGTATATTGCATACTCTAACAATTTTGTTAGTCTCATCAATGGCATAAGCCGAAGGGAGTCCAGACTTTGGGCTTAAAAGTGGCTGGGGCATTTATTATTTCACTCAAACTGCTGTCCCCCATCCTGTTAAAAAACTCTTTTTCTTAGGCTACTTATTAGGCCACATAAATGAGGGAAGCGTGAACATAAGTTAAGCGTCACCTCGAGAAGCCATGAAGTAGCGATGCTGGGAGTAGGGAAATCTAGAGCGGCCTATTTTATTCATTAAAATATCGATATTTGGTGCCAGCATATCGATTCTCATATCACACCGAGGACAACAATATATTGCCCTATCGATATTTTGTCCCACCCCTATAACAGTGTCACGTAAATTACATTCAAGCTCAGATAAAACTATTTTAATATCGTACATAAAACATAAATGCCTGAGATAATCATTGAACTGTCAACCACACCATTGCAGAAAAAAAAACTGAATCTCCCCAATTTTGATATCCATATCGTTGTCACTGCTGGTTACGACAATCTGGGCTTCAGAGTCACCATAGCTATTGAAGATTTGTACATTTTCTGAAGAAAACGCCCTTCTTAAAAAGAAAGTCTATGGGATTTTTTCACCCACAATGTCTAATGCTAAACACAAGTCACATGACTTGAGGTATCACTGATATCCATAGCATAAACAGTGCAGACTGAGCTACATGTCAATATTCAAAACTTTTGTTTAAATAAAAGCAATAATGAGCATAGTGAGTCTTAACTTACTCTGACTTGATATACAAACTGGGGAGGATTTGTATGGATATTTATGGTAACTGGAGAGTTGGAAGGCAGTATGAGGATTTAGTGTGCCAGTGGGAGCATGGCAGGGATTGTGGGGTAAGTGCAATACGTACTGGAGTGTGGCACTGGGTGTAATTCTGAGCAGTTCTTATTCAGCCCCTGCAGGAGTTTGTCATCCGGGATCAAAAGCCCATCTGACCAGAGCGGCACAGAGAGAGGCTTCAGACACAAGGAGCGGTTTTCATGCCGCGCCATCCCTGCCAGGGCCCGCGCACACAGACAAGCAATCACATCAATCTCGGTTTTTTCCATCATGCCTACTCTCTCTCTCGATTTCACTGCGTTTTACCTCCCTCCATCATTATGGTCTCCTCCACTTTCTTTCCCTCTCTTTAGCGAACACACAGGCTTTTCTTTCCGTTTTGATTAGATAGACATCCCAGTGACCCTAAAACTGTCTCTCGTGATGGATGTAAAGGAAGAGCATGGTAAAGAGATGCCAGTGCTATCCTCCGTAGAGATCTAGCCATCCAAAACTACCATTCCATCCACCCTTCCCTTCTTCTTTCTGCACTGCTTCCTCCTTTTCACGCTCCACTCCTCTTTAACATCTGCACTCTTTCTGCTTGTTTCAGCCCACATCCCATCTCTCTTGCACCTCTCTTCTTCATCTGATTCTCTGAGGGAGCTCAGTAGCGCATCAAGATGTCAGAGCGTTCGAATGCAAACATTCATCACTGACGTGCATTGAAAGCGTACACACAGAAAGCCACTAAGCGACTGACATCCCTAGCAGGAGTCATAAATACAGAGAGCGGAGAAAAACAACTCGGGACGACGTGTGACAGTTATCAAAAGTTTCGGCTTTTGGGACTGAAGCTTTTTAAAAATCGGTTTAGGATTAAAGGAGAACCCACAAATACACTTGTTGATGCATGCTGTTCAACAGCTCTTTTCATTCACTAACCTATACATTTACTATTATTCTTTTTTTTTAAAAATGGAATGAAAATAACATGGGCTGACTCATATTATCAAAAACTTCATGACAGAACAACTGGAAGAAATCCGATTAGGCTCAAAACAGCATGGGTCCCACACGATTACAACGATGAATTTCCAAGATTTTGTCTCTCGTCAATTAATATACAAAGTTGTCATATTACTGGTTTCCAATTTTGTCTATACTAGGCTCTAAATTCTTTCCATGAGCAGCCCTTGACAGTGATTTAGAAGTTGAGCTTACATTGGACATTTTCTTGCAAGTGGCCTGCTTCTAAATATAACTTCTGAATAACAAATGTTCAATTTTATTCAAAACTGAAGCTTTGCATGATGTGAGGCACAAATTCTTGAGGGATTTCAGGTTTTAAAAGAATTAGAGAAAACTGATGGCACTGGGATAAAACTACAGTAGTATGATGCTTGACAAAGCAGGATGACTCTGTTTCTGCCATTCTCTGATGGGATGTGATCAATAACCTTCTTGACCTCCTTAAGGTTGGGGTTTGGGCCACATCCAAAGCCATAGCGAGACCTTGACATTAACACAGGGAGAAAGCTGAGTCTGCAAGCACGCAAAGAAAGTGAGAGAGGAAAAAGTGCCAGCCACCAATGCTGAAGAAATGTCAGAGGAGTGGGCGTTCTTGTAACTGTTTTGAGTCGAATGCATTCATGTGTTTGCATTAATGCAACCTTCAAAAGAAAGACATATGAATTTCACAGCCCCACTGAAAAGCCCACGGCATCTCCATGCCAAATGCGTTTAATACGGTGAGGCGTCGCTTGCAATACAATCACACTTTTGAATCTTTTAATCTTGCTGCCATTTTAAAGACTAAGATGCTCCCACGCGTGGCACGCGAAATCTGTGCAGTGCTTTAAAACATCCTAATTCAATCAGTAACACACCGCCCCCCTTTGAAAAACAGGCTGCCGGGTACCAGAGCTACCCAGCTGGCACCGTATGCAGTCTACAGCCTGATGAAGCTGATTCCAGTCAAGGCTTAAATAACTGAATTCTGCTCTGAATCATAATTCTGAATCTCAGTGGGTCAGTGTCCTTTCCTTCACACCCTTTCTCTTTCACACGCCCGCACTTCGTAAATGCATGCATCCTGCTCCCTCTGCTTGTCAGTTTGACGTTCAGTCAATACGACTTGTGTGTGACCTGAGAAAATGTGCGTGTTGACAGCATATGACCTTTACCGCTTTTGTTGAGACACACACAGGCACGATCGCCCACCCCTCTTTCTCTCGCTCTCTATGTCCCGACCCTCACTCTGTTCATCTCTCTTTCTGTGTCCCCATTTATGTGTCCCTCTTTTCCTTTCTATCCATCTCTTTCAGTCTAGCCTATCCCCCCCCCCCTTTTTTTTTCTCCCTGCCCCTCTTTTTCTCTCTTTCTAGTTCTCTGATACCCTAAAATGGCACAAATGCTTAAATTCACCCTATATCAAAATAATAATTAGCACAATTTTATACACATGCATCCATTTTATGCATGCAATGATCATTGCAATCAACTTTTAAAAACATGGGAGTTTAAAAGGTCTTGGTAAACATCTCAAAATAAAATTTCAAGCCCTGAGTAAACAAGTGAAGTTATGATATATATAACTATAAACTTACCTTGAGCGCGCAACATGTGGGTATTCCAGAGGAACACAAGGGCAAAAATCCAACCCCGCATCCCGCACCTCGCTTTCCCCGTCATCGCCTTCCTTGTATTTCCTTGATTGTGAATAATCCCTTTAACTTTGCCCTTGGTAAGAGGGCTCTGACACTCGGAGAAGCTGGAATCTGTAACCTCGGCAGATGTGGAGGTTTGGGAAAGCAGAGTAAAGTGCGCGCGTGGCTTCGCAGCGTTTACGAGGCGATTCTCATTCATCCCGCACGCCGGAGACTCGGAGTTCAGCTCCGAGTCCGCGACTTTCCCGGTCGCTTTACTTTCATGTCTCATGGCTTTCTGAAAGCCCTCTTCCGAGCATTTAGCACTGAATAAAACGATACCTTTAACCCAAAAAGACCAAGTCTCCGTACTCTGCTCCAAAATGAACGGACTTCCATTCGCTAAGCGCGAGCTGCTCTTCTGTGTCCCGAGACGGCTCATGATGTTTCAGTATTGATTCCAGTTAAGTATTAATACGTTTGAGTGTACCGGATTTAATTTATCCGCTTAGAGCGCCAATATCTCCTGTAAACCCACGTTGTTTGACGTATTCGCAGTTCGGATTATCTACCCGATTATTTCGAGCAATTTCACGGCATTCAGCCAGTCTTGAAGGATCCCTTACAATCCATATCGGTTCTCATTAGATATGCCTTTATCCATTGGTAACAGACCGAGGGAAACTGCTTGATTCATCTGGTTAAGTGTAATGTTACCCAGAAGACGTTATGTACCCAACAGGTTAACCATGCAGGACGCAAAAAGAATCACATAAGTCAAGAACGTCCAGTACAAATTCCTCGTAAACGAATAAACACCTGTGAACAGAAAAGGCAGACGTCATGAGTATGCAAATTACAAACGGTGTAATGTGGCTTAAATCATAAACCTTCCGAGTAGTAGCTAACAAATTATAACCTACATTTCTTGAAAAATGTGTTTAGTGAGATGTTTTATATACTTTTCACAAAAAACAAATCCAATAATGCTTAATAGTTTGTTCACAACCAGCACTAGCCAGCTAGGCTACATTGATTAAGTCGAAAATAATAACTTGCAGTTCAGTAAATGAGCCGAATTAATTTAGTAACCGACTGATTAATAAGTGTTTTGAATCACTACAGAGAGTCGACACTTAAGAGTCACTCCTTTGCGATTCAAAGTGGCGCGAGCTGTGACTGTGTTTTTGATTCACTAAAAAGATCCGACTCCTAAGAATCATCCGATCAAGTTCCAAACCATGGCAATAGCAAACATATTAGACAACAGATACACTCACCTTCATCACATGGTAAATGTTTTCCAGCAGTTAGTGCTTAAGTTCGGGTACGCAATGAATCGATGTAATTCGTAACTCTGGAAGTTGAAAGTCCTCAACTTAAGCTCTTGCGGTCAGGTTTAGGAGAAAGCGAAGAGAACAAGGCTCCTATCAGGAAATAATTTCAAGTTTAGTCAGATGCTAGTAAAAATGCCGCTTCTTTGAAAGGTTTGAATGAGCCGTTCGAGTTTCTCTTCTCAGGAATAGTCATTTGTACAGGGCTGAATTTGAAGTTGAATTCAGCATCCCACCCGCTCCGCCCTGCTCGGCGCTGATTGGTCCGCACTCTGCACACTACAACCTATTATTTTTCAAGGAGAGCACGTGGAAAAGGAAAATCTTCTGAAACACGGTGCCATGCGCCCCCAATCAGACAGGAGCATTTCGAAAGTCACACCGAAAATGTATTTTTTTTTTTGTTTGTTTTTTTTTGTGTGCTTTTTTTAAAGTTCATGTTTCAGAAAGTGTTAGACATCACGTAATAATAAATCATGGTGTGGAGTTTTGCATTCTGTTGAGTAGGCTACAGTCTTAAAGGGTTAGTTCACCCAAAAAATTAATATTGTCAGGCTTACTCACCCTCATGTTGTTCCAACCCCATAAGACTTTCGATCATCTTTGGAACACAAATTAAGATATTTTTGATTAAATCTGAGTGCTGTCTCACTCCTTTAGGCATATTGTAATTGAAACATGCCGGCCCAGAAAGTTAGTAAAGACATTGTTAAAGGGATATTCCACCCAAAAATGAAATGAAAAAATGGAAGTCAATGGTGCCAAACAACTGAGGTCCCAATTGAAGAGTTCAGATGCAAAAGCCTCTAAATGCCATTTTAAATTTTCTTCTTTAATGATGATTTTTATCAAACTTGTATAATTAAGTTCAGTAATTTCACTCAAATAACAATTAATAGGTAATTATCATTGCCATTTAAGTGAAATCACTGAACTTAAATATACAAGCTTGATAAAAATGATCATTCTAGAAGAAAATTTCAAATGGCACTTAGAGGCTTTTGCATCTGAACTCTTCAATTGTTCTTGAAAATATCTTCCTTTGTGTTCAGCAGAAGAAAGAAACTCATACAGGTTTGCAACAACTTGAGGGTGAGTAAATGATGACAGAATTTTCATTTTTGGGTGGACTATGCCTTTAAAATAAAATGAACTTACCCTTTAACACACACACAAAATCCAATCCTGAATGATTTTCTTTAATTTCATTAAAAAAAAGTTCATACAACTTTATATTCCAAGACTTCTGAATGATACACTTCTCCAAAGAACAGAATTCAATTTAAGTGGTTATTTGTTGAAATTCATGGGAGACACTTAAATAAAACTGCTTAGATTAGTCTTAAAAATTAGTCATCTGTTTTATTTCAAGAGTTGTACTAACTTTTTAAGTGTGTTACATAAATAAAAAGGTAGATCAGTCTAATTTGAATCAGAAAAGTAAGACTGATAGGCCACCTCTCGACTAATTTGTTGGTCAAATTATTTCTGAAGACAAAGTCTTAACATAGTGACTACATGCAACTGGCCCCAGATTCTACATATGAATGTCAAATATGTCTTGATAGGGAACACTTGTGCTGATTTAAGAGCTAAGATTTAAATTTAGGCCTGGCCCTCATCCAGGACATTCAAATTTAGAAGATTTAATACATAACAAACGCTTCATGGGCCAGTTTTGGGATAGCCTTCTGTACTTCTTTTTTTCTTGTTATTTTTTTAAAATTAGCAACATTAGTTAGTAACATTAAGAGGAAACGTGGACGGAATAGACATTATACATTATTTATACTATTTCTCTAATTTCTGCAGGGGAAAAAAATGCTTGGTAACGAGTAAATTATGAAGTGAATGAATGAATATCCATATGAGAATGTAGAGCAGAGTGTCAAGGTCAGTGTGCTCATATTAAGCCAGCATATTATTTTTTATTAATAATAGTGTGTTTTCATTAAATGTTTCCTCGATCATTGAAACTATCTAAAAATGAAAAGACACTGGGATAAATGGAGAGGTTATTAGATGCCTGAAACATGTTTAATCAATAATACTACACATTTTAGACAACTCAACTTCATTAAGAATTCAGAAAAAGATATCAAGATTAAGTAATTTCTGAAATCATTCTCTTCCAAACGCAAGGCCTTAAACTCTACAGAAGTTGCTTTTGTTGAAAAGCTAATGAAAGCCAGGTGGTGGCCACAGCAATTGACCAGCGGTGGCGGGTTGGGCTTGCTCCCGTCACTGAGAGCAGTTCCTTCATTTCTCAGTGGCAAAATGTGTTAATACTCTGGCCTCTGCCTGTGCTGGTCATTCCTTGGTTTCTATTAAGTATATAATTGGAACAACTAATTCCAAAACCAATTTGATTTGCAATTATGTCCATCCCCATTCCAGGCCACTATTCATTTAAAGCCTGTCTTACTCAGACAGCGATAGTGGAATGACATGAGGACACAGGTGCGCACACACACACACACACACACACACAGATACCAATCATCTGCTCTGCCTTGAATTAAATGTTTCTCAAGTCACATCTCTTAATGTGTTTTTTTCCAATGTATAAATGGTTTCCACTCACTTCATGTCAGAGGTACTTGTTACACCCGGGAAAAAAATGAGTTTAACCAACCACAACCTGTTGAAGGAACAGTTCGCCTAACATTTAAAATACTGCCATCATAACCTGTCAGTGTCTTTGTCATGACAACTTGACATTACTAAGACAACACAACCTGTCATAAACATGACATAGCAGATTAATTATCAAACTTAAGAAACCACCTAGCTTTATTGGTTAACATTACATTAAACTGTCAGGTGGTTGGTTTTGACATTGGCTGTCATGAAGCCATTATAACTTTTTAATGACAAATTCAATGTGTACCACAGTAGTTAAGGTCACGAAAAATATTCATGACACAGTTATAATGTCCACATGACAGCCAATGTCAAAGCCATCCACATGACAGTTTAACTTAATTTAAGTCACTGACAGGTTATGGTTTATGTCAAGATGTCATAACAAAATATCATATTTGCATTTAGAATGTCATTATTGAGCGAAAGACACTTAATGACAGTTGTCATAAACATGCATAAACCCTATTTAATATTCATGACGTGTCATGGTCATGAGTGTGTCATGCCAGTCTTATGCACACCCCTTCAAGTAAAGTGTTCCCAACAAGTCATTATTAAATCCACAAGGAATACTCAGGAGATCACAGGAGAAAAACATAAACACAACCACGCAAAACTAAGACGGAAGGAAGGTCTGTACTCCATCACAGCTTTCATTGGCCAAAAGCGGCCAAAGAGGACGCCTGACAGACATGTAAAGCAACCAATCGCAGTTTGTTTGTTCCGTGTCATGTTTAGGGGTGAGACAATGTACGATAACAGCCCGGTGTGCATCTAATAAATGATTCATTCAAGAAGGATGTGCAAATGTACTGCTGGTGCTGCATATTTGTGAAAATCCAGCATTTAGTTGATCCTGATAAGCTTTCATTGTCTCAGTTGTAAACATGACCGCTTTCTTCTTCCATGAGGGGGTTTAGCGTCACGACGGCTTTGTTTCCAAGTGGACTGTTAAGATGACAACTTAGAAAAAAATGAAGTGTTTCCCATTTTGTGAGCCGGTCCGTGGGTGTGACGTCTGAGACTCAGACTAGACAGCAGCTAAATCCATATTTATAAGATCCGGTATTCTGCCAGTAACGAGCACGGTCAAGGAGATGAGTAAAAAACACAGTCTTCATTAAAAACACAGGGAAAAAAATCAGGAGATCGCAGGAGAAAAACATAAATACAACCACATAAAACTAAGACGACGTTGGACAAATGAATTGAGGAATATGGGGAGAGTAATCAAGGTCAAATGGAACAAGTGTGGAAACTAATTAACTATTAGAGAAAACAGATAGGCAACACAGGGAAAACAAACACTGTGAAAACGAAACCCAAACAGACTTGTGACATACAGTGAATTTAAATCATTATTTAGACTTGCTTTGTGAACCAGAACAACTGATTAATTGAAGAGATCCAATTCAAAAGAACAGTTAATCAATCAGACTCAATTACCTCTACTCTCATAGAAAAAGAAATAATAAAAATGTATTAATTATTTGTAAAATTGCATGAACAAACACTCTCACAAAAAAAGGTACAAAAGCTGTCAATGACTGGGGCTGAACCTTTTCTAAATGTACACTTTTGTACCCAAAGGCTGCATATTGACATCTCAGTGGTACATATTAGCACCTAAAATGTACATATTAGCACCTGAAATGTACATATTAACACCTAAAATGGACATATTAGCACCTAAAATGTACATATTAACACTTAAAATGTACATATTAGCACCTAAAATGTACATATTAACACCTAAAATATACATATTAACACCTAAAATGTTCATATTAGCACCTAAAATGTACATAACACCTAAAATGGACATATTAACACCAAAAATGTACTTAGCACCTAAAATTTACATATTAGCACCTGAAATGTATTTATTAGCACATGAAATTGACATATTAGCTCCTGAAATGTACATATTAGCACCTACAATGGACAAAAGTGGCTTATTGAGACTTGAAATATAAAGTCATATACAATTTTTAATGACATATTTACGGGTTTTATGTTCAAATTTTTGTTTAGCAGAAAAAGAGATGTCAGCTATATTCCAATTAAGAGAAAGTGGAGAGTGAAAACTGATAAGCAATCCAATTTCAAAAAAATATATTTTTCCAGTTTCAGTATACTCTGTTTTGCATTTGTAAGGCACTATTGCTTATTTTAGCTCATCTGATAAAAGTTTTCATAGATTATTACATTTGATATGAATGTTATGAAAAGAAAAGGCTGTTGTTCCAGAAACGTGGACAAAATCATGGCCACTTACAAACAGATACTTTAGTCTACTAATAGTGCTACCTAAAATAACATCTAATGAAACTCAACCTGGAATGTATTCAGTGGCTAGTCTTTGAACTCTCATACTTCTGTCAATCATATTTACGAGCATGCACGAAGATGACCTATTCAAGACATTCTTAAG